GAGAAAGAGGAGACGGATCAGGCCGGGGTGCGGGGGGCCCTTCAGCTACTCACGCTCCCGGTAATTGCAAAAGGACTGTGAGAGCCTTTGGGAATTTTGCTTCCCACTTTAACTCCACCTGAACACGTTGTCCAAGTGGCAGGACCAGGATCCCGGGAACCAGCAGCTGGCACGGCCCGGAGGCGCCCACAGGACCCGTGTCCTCCGCACAGAGCTGCCAGGGCAGGAGGGCCCTTGGAGCAGGGCGAGCGTCAAGTGAGTCAACAGCCTCCATCCCACTGAGCATGGGAGCCCTGCGGCCTCTCCAGGCTCTTTTTGGGGTGGAAAGCAGCTTTTTTACAMATTTAGCTGACCAGGAAAAGCCTCTTGATCCTCAAACAAAACCCCAAGTGATGTTATCTGGTGCCGACGCTTCTTCCAAGCCCCCGGCACCTTCTCCAGCCACATGTCCCGGGAAGGGGCTCGGAGCCACCACCAACGCTGCACAACCGAGTCCCCCGCTCCGCTCGACGTCGGCGCATGGGAGCCGGCTAATCCCATCTCCGCCCGCGCTCATCCACTTATCCCGGCGGAGACCTCCGGAGCGCACCCCGGCTCCGAGCCCCGCCGCCGGCAGGGCCCTCTCCTCAGCTCACCCCCATGAATTATGCACCTCCCTGTCCGCCGGCTCCGCTTGAAGGCCTCTCTCCAAAGCCTTCCTGACAGCCAGGGCTTTTAAGCAGCCCGAATTAGCTGGGCTGAGTTTCCCACTGGGAAAGGTAGGGAGCCTCCGCATGCCGCACGCAACCGGCCAGCCCCGTGGCAGCGGGAACGYTCCCGACGGCAGCCTCGAGCCTGCGGCCGCCTCCTCGCTCCTTTTTGAGCATTTTCCCTCCTGCTCTGTGCCACCTTTGATCACGGAGCGGGAAGGAGCCCAAGGTGGAACAACCGTGGTGGGCAGGAAGCGAGCACCAAGCTCCGCAGGGAGCAGGGATGTGACCCAAGAGATCATGCGTGCGCCTATGGGGTGGAAACTGCAACCCAAAAGGAGGCAAATTCACCCATTTTCCAAGCAGTGGCCAACGTTTCCACGTCCCCGGGAGCCAGATCCCCCTGGAACAGCCTTTTCCCTGTGCCATCGGTCCCATGTCTGCAAGGGGACGTCCCCTGCACCGCGCAGGGACGGCAGCTCTACTCGCAAGGGGACGCATCCCCCCAGGGATTTTGGAGCAAAAAATTGCACCTTTGCAACAAGTGAGGTGCAGCCGAGCAAGGAAACGTGCATCAAAACGTGGCCAAGGCCGGCAAAGCTCTCGAACACTCGCACCCAGACACGGCCCCAGGCAGCGGGATCTGCTCTCCGCAGGGCTCAGAGCAAACGGAGCATCCAACGCTATTCCAGGGGCTCGCACATCTCCAGAGGATGGAGCTGGATCCCCTCCCGGCCACGCACTGCACTTGATTTTCCTTTCTTTTTTTTTTTTTTTTTCCCCTCCTTATTTTTGCAGAATTTCCCCTCACCAGCAAGACCATYCGAGCAGGGGGTCCCAGGTGTCCCGCCACCCCCCGCAGCCCCAGCCCTCGTGCTTGGCCACCCCAAGCCCACAGTCCACATCCTGCCGCGCAGCCCGGAATCCCGGCACGTCCGCCGGCGGCTCGTGGAAAATCAAGGCCGTTTCTTTGCCCACCTGCGAATCCTGCGGCAAGCGGGGCCCGCCGGAGCGCAGCACAATACCCCAATTAGCCCACGCTCGCCTCCCCCACACGCAAGCTACTGCAGGGAACTTTGCCTCGGCTCCTATTCCTGCTTTTTTTCCCTCTTTTAATTGCCCAGGCTGTGCAAAGCGCAGCTGAGATGGAGACAGGGAGAGCAGAGACCGTGTTTGCTCTTGCTGGGCAAAACCTTTAGCATTCAGGTCAAGCGCCTTGGCTTYCACCTGCCTAGGAGGAAAGCGAGGCCGGGAAGTAGATTTTAGCAGGAGAACACACCTGACTCCTTAAGGAAGCTGCACCCCCCACACCATGCAGCAATCACCAGCGCGATGCACTGGTCATAGTGTTTCCCTAATCCCAACCCAAAAAGCCAATCACTACCTCTCCAGACACAGGTCCTGCCAACACCAGGATCTTCGGATGCACTCGCCAGGTCCCAGAGGAGCGAGGCCCCCATATCTTTCTGGTCCAAAAAGAGCTTTGGGCCAAATTGGGGGGCAAAAGCCAGCCAGGCTCTGGGTGCAGCCGCCGTCCCCTCCTCCTGACCCAGCGCCTGCCCAAGTGCCTTGAAAAGGGCTCCTCAGATCCATGGGGAAAGCTCCACCCGGGCTGCAGAGCAGCGCCAGGGAATATTTATCACACTATATATATATATTTATATCTATGTATCTACATTTCTAACTGCAAGCAAGCACGCAGGCTGCCTCCCCCCTTGCCAGTGCTAATCCCTGGCGAGCGGTGCCCGGAGAGCACCAGGGGCTCCACACAGGATTCCCGGGATGGGGAAGGATGGAGGGAAGGAGGCAGCCCTGGCCCTGCGCAGACACCCTGCAATGAGTTTTGYGTCTGTCACCGGCAAAGCGGGACGGCAGCGGCTGCAGGAGCGAGTGAGCTCCGAGCGCACGCAGCGACGGTCACCCCCGCACAGGGAACCCCTGGATGAGACTCAGAGCCAAAGATGGAGAGATGATGCCCAGAGAGGGCACCGAATCGGAGCCACGGGTTATAATTCAGATCTGCCTCGTCCCCAGGCTGCTGCCACCCTGGGAAGGGCAGAAAGGGGGTGCCTGAGCTTGCAGTCAAGGAGGGGCCAAAGTCCAGGCTCGTGACTCCCGTTTCTGGGGGGCTGCGCTGAGGATGAGGATGCAGCCAGGATGGGGCAGAGAGCGCAAAACCCTCCCCAAAACCCCCATCCCTTGGGGGGCAGCGGGGGCCCCAACCCCAGCAGGGAGCTGAGCCCAGAGCCCTTTCAGGGGTGTGCCAGGGGCTCCAGCTCCTCCAGCAYCAGCACCCAGCCGAGGAGCCTCCAGAACCGGCGCCCACGGCCAGGATTTCAGCATGGATGAGGTGACAGATGCCAGGGAGGCTGCAGCTCCCAGCCGGCCGCTCCGGAGCACCATGCCCAGCGCGCTCCCGACACACTCCCGATGCAGAGAAGAGCAAGCAAGGAAACGCGCCCTGCTTTTGGCACCTCTCTCGACATCTTCCCGAGCTCCCTGGCTCCATTCAACAGATCGGATCCCTTCCCTCAGCACCGGGGGCCAGCGGCCGCGTTCGCCCCGAGCGCTGGCCTCGGACGTGCCCCCCCTGCATCCCAGAGCCGCGATGACTCATTCCAGCCTTGGAAGCGCAGCCAGGATGGCGAGCAGAGCCCAATAGCCCCCAGCCTGCAGGGAAACAGCCTGGCCTGCAGAGCACGGAAAACTCATCACAGCGGGGAAAGAGCCCAGCCTGCAGAGCATGGCAAACTCATCACAACCAGGAAACCACCCAGCAAGCAGAGCACGGCAAACTCATCACAGCGGGCACAGAGCAGGAGGAGGAGGCTGCAGTGGTGCATAGCAAGGCCGTGCCCGGGGGGGCTGTGGGAGAGCGCTCCGGTTTTTTCCCACGGCAGCCAGGGTCCCTGGAGACCCGGCACAAGGAGCGTGAGCAGCTCTCGCCCCAAGCGCTGGATAGYGGGAGAGCGAGGATGTGCTGGAGAGAGGGAAAGGAGCAAGATAAATCCAGGAATGAGCGTGTGTGCATGAGCATGGAGCGGCATCCTGCCCCGGCCCGGGGCTGCCACCAGCTGGGGAGGCTGCAGCCCCAGACCACAGGACCCCCCACCAAAGCCCCCTCACTCACCCCTGTTCTCAGCCCCTTTCCTTCCCCTTCGAGCCCCCCGCGCTGCCCCCGCGGTGACAGCGGGGACCCAGAGCTGTCACCTGCCCGCACCCGGGGTCTCCTCCACCAGACCCTTCTGCGGGACCCAGCGCCGCGGTGAGGGGCTTTCCTTAAGGAAGGAAAAGGAGAGGAAAAGGAGGGGGGAAATCTCTCTTGCCCCCAGCCCGGGTGGAGCGCGGGAGCCGCGGGCGACGCTGCGGGAGCGCCCGGGGCGCTGCGGCCGCGCAACTATTAATAATGCAATTAGTTAACGAGGGGGAGCGCGGGGACCCTCCCGAGGAGGGGGCTGCCAGGGGAGCAGCTCCCTGCTGCAGCCCCCGGTGTCGCAGCCCCCCCGCAAAGGAAAAAAAAAATAAAAAGAAAATAAAAAGGGAATAAATAAATAAATCACGGGAGGAGCGGCGGGTCCGGAGCGCTGCGGCGCCGGGACGGGCGGCTCCTCGCGGGGACGGTCCCCCCACCCCGCAGCCCCGGGCGGGCCGGGCAGCCCCTGCACTTACCGCGGGCAGCGCGCGGCGAAGTTGGCGGCCGGGGGGCGCGGGGGGGCGCGGGGAGCCCCGCGGGGCGCTGCCTCATGCGGCGGGGGGAGCCCCGGGCCCCGGCCCGGCCCCGAGAGCCGCAGCCGGGCGGCACCAGCCGCGCTCCGCAGCCGCCAGCAGCAGCAGCAGCAGCAGGAGGAGGAGGAGGAGGAGGTGGAGGAAGAGCAGCAGCAGGAGGAGGAGGAGGAGGAGGGCCGGGGAAGTTTTGCATGAAGAGGCGCTGGGAAGCCCGGCGCCGCCGCTGCCAGCCTTTTAA